CTGGCGCCCGAGAGAACAGCACCTAGGGAAGCACTAGTTCTCGGTTGTTTCTAGTGGAGGACACTCCACAAAGCAGGGGCTCTCTGGGGCATTTTCCTTCTTTCACATTCGCCTCCCGTCGCGCTCTTTAATTTCCCATCCTCGAACTTAGAACACCAAGTCTAGGAGACGTGGGTGATTTCGCAGTCGCGGAAACGCCTGCACGGTCGGATGTCTGGGCTTTTCTTCATCGCATACTTTCCAAACCCACAATTCTTGTTTTCGTGGTCACGTTATCCGTAGTCCGTTCTTTCCGTAGTTGTAGAGAAAACTCCCTGTGGACGTGCTGGAGTAACTCAGGGCCGACCACTCTCCTTCCAACCGCTCTGAAATCAAGTTCCGGACCCACATCCACCCAGCCCACCTGCTCTTACCGCCCAATTCCAGCGCGCGGGGACCGTTCTTCCCGCACCGCCCCCTCCTAGGTGCGCCCGCCCGCGGGCCGGTGTTCCGTCACGTGGTCGTGGCTCCGCCCCCCGCCCTGAGGTCCCCGCCGGCCCGGCCCAGGCGCAGAAGCCGCTCCGCCGGCGGGAGGCATGGGCGCTGCGCTGCGGGGCCAGACTAAGCATCCGCGCCCGGGCTTCCGCGCTTCCCCGCGGGGCTGACTCACGTGGCTTCCGAGGTCGGAGCGGACGCGGTAAAGCATGGTGGCGCATGACGAGAGCGGAGGCCTCCTGCCCATCAAGAGGACCATCCGCGTCCTGGACGTGAATAACCAGGCGTTCCGGGAGCAGGAGGTGAGACCGAGGGAGAGGGAGAGCCGCCGCGCCTGCAGTGAACTCCCATCCCTTAACTGCAGTTAACTCCCGTCCCACGTGAGCAAGTTTGAAACTGGGAAGCAGGCTAAGTGTAAGCAGGTATTTCCAAGATAATTCTGGTGAACACAGTGGAAGGAAAACCCGACCCGGTGTGCATGGTTTTGGATTTTTTTGTTTTTTTCCTGTATCTGGTAAGTTCATCGGGCACCCCTTCTGAGAGGAAGGACTCGTCACCGTATTGAACCCATGAAATGCTGATGGTCTGTCTGCTTGCTTGCTTGGAAGTCCTTTGGCTTTATGAACATTTATCAAAATCAGTCTAATTGTTTTTAGGCCATTTTATGGAGTCTTAGCAGTTGAGTTAGTACTGCATGGTGTGTCTGTTGGCGTTGCACTGACACCACATGTGTGGAAATTGTGTTCTCTGTTCAATTAGCCAGATCTCTTAATACTGATGATTTGGTGCTAAAGCATGTAATTGTCCTTTTAAAATATGTGCAGTTCATTCCGTTTCAGTAAACTTTGTTGTACATACATTTTTGGGGTGTTAAAGCAACTTCCATCCTGGGAAATATGCCTTCTGATGTTGAGTTTTAGTCTTTGATCGTTTGGTTTCGTGTTTTCTTACCTGCTTAAGTTTTATCAAAATGAATACGCATTTTCTTGGAGTAGAATGCTTCATGAATTGTCACCAGTAAAAATATAAAACTAGACATCTTTGGGCCATCAAGAACGAGCCCCTTCTTGTTAGTGTGAGACGTTGTCTGTGTTCTGGCACCTTTATTTCAAAGATTCAAACACCAGGAATGTGATCGAAGTTTTAGAGCTAGCAACACAGCCTTATAATTGAGTGCGGAAAGAGAAGAGATGCGTGCTCACGCTTACTTTTGTCTTTTTTAAAACAATTTTTTAAAGTTCTTACTCTTTTGATTTTTAAAGTTCTTACCAAGTAGAAAATTATTTACTGAGTAATTCAAAAAGAATAAAAAAATACTGACTTTTTAAAGTCTTGATTGAATATTTTTCAAAAGACCCCTCCTAGAATATGCCCTGTAAATGACATCATTAGAAAAAAACTTGTGACAAAAAGTTAAATTCACAACAGGATTTCTTCCAGTTTGCTGGGTTTATATGTGAGATGTATTCCAGTTACTGTTTTAAATTCAAGAAGAATAAACACATACTGACTTTAAAGTCTTGATAGAATATTTTTCAATGGTTTTAAATTAGACTTAATTTTCTGTTGATAGATATTCAGAAAATATATTAGAACAAAATCTGACTGGAAGTGAATTATGAAAATCAAGTAAAAGCCCAATGTAAATTAGAATTGCTAAAGGCTTGCTCTGGCTGCCTAAACTCGATGCTCTGGTTAAAAATTAACCTGAATAAACACATGAGCTCATAAGAACAAGGGTTCCTTTTCCCTTCCAGGTGAACTTTAGCCCTCATAAAAGGTCGCCTACTATAGAAAGTTCCTTGAGCATGTAATCCTTGTTAGTGTCCTTGGTTTGTTCCCCTGGATTTTCTGCTGTCTGTGGGGAGTGTATGGCTCCAGTATCTGCCTGTTTCTTCAGCTGCTTGCATTTGCTGTAATGTCTAAGCAGATAAACCCCACTATCGTTGCCTGAGCCTTACCTCTGGAGATACAGACGTACCTTTCATCACCTCTGGGGAGAGGTGAATGTGGGTGTAAGAACAATTTCATCATAATGCAAATGCTTGTGTTTTAATAACTAAATCCAGATCCCTAAAATGGTTCACCTGGACCTGTAATTCACAGGCCAGATCATAATCCATATTCCAAAAGGTAAAAGAGTTTTACCTCTACCTTTCTGGGGACCCTTTAGGGCCTCATCCATTTTACTTTTCCACAAAAACCTTCTGTTCTGCAGACAGTGCCTGTGTCCTGAAATTGGTTTCACTGTTATACCTGACACATTTCATTACTTTTTCATTCTTTGACTAAGGATCAGTAAATGGTTGTTCTCCCATGCTTGTTGTTGTTGTTGTTTTTGTTTTGTTCTGTTTTCTTCAGACAGGGTCTCAGGTCTCATGAGTAACTCAGGCTGGGCTGGAACTCTTGGTAGTCCTCCTTCCCAACCTCCCAAGTACACCATACTTATTTTTAAAGAACCGTGGATATATTGAGCCACCAAATGCACCCTAAAGTGACTGCATAAACAAAATTCACATTAGTTTCATAAACATGTTTTTACATATGTTTACATTTAATTACCTAAGTCGGAATTATGTAGTTTTCTTATGGAAGAATGCTTGCCTGGTGGCTCCTTAACACCACAAAAAAAAAAAAGAAATAAAAGAACGTCTTTTTCATTTTAAATGAAATATGAATGAAAAATGAATAGTCTTTTTCATTTTAAATATGACATAATTTTGAATTACCAGGAAATTAGTTTTACATTAACTATTTTTATAAAACAGAAATTTTTACCAGTAATTTGACTTCACATAATAAAGTGAATTGTATCAAAACACCGTTCTTCTTAGCTAAACTAACTTTTACATTCCAACTCCTTGGGAGCAGCACCTTTGTAAAGACATAGAAATTGAAATTAAATATTTTTGATTTATTAGGAAATTTTTAGTGTTTAACCAAGAAAGAAGTGCCAACCTCTGTTTCCGAAAAGCACGGCAGAACTTTGTGACAACTGCTTTGGTCCTAGTGAATGTTGGCATATCTTACTTTGTGAGGTAATTCTATCTCCATTCAAACAACAGACTCTTTGTACTGTCTTTACTAAATGGAAAGGAATGCCTCATGCTGGCCTCTGCACACGCTTGTGTCACTCACTCTGCACAGATGTGTGGTGGAGGCATTCACACGTGTCCTCTGTTGCGTCTTGTGGCGTTCAGGGGTTCCTTCTCCAGCCTGCTGAGTGTTTGTACTCTCGAGCTTATGTTCCAAGTTTTGCTTTGCAGTTAATTATTTGGGGGATAGAGGGAATGGTCTCTCTCCCTCTCTCCCCACCTCCAAAGTTACACATTCTCTGGAAGCCTCTTGAGCAGTTCACGTTCCTCTCTGATGCATCTGTGCACATCCAGGACCTTCAGGAGTCTATCTATTTGCTACTGGGGATATTTGAGTCATTTAAGTTTCTCCCTAAGTAATTTTGAACTTTTTCTGCCAGTTTATTCTTAAATTATTTGAAGGTTATTTTTATTTATTTTTAATTCCATTTCTTCACCCCTTCCATGTGACTTTGGTCGTATCAGGGATTTTTTTTTTTTTAGTGTGGGGGGGGTCTTTTATTATTTCAAAGTAATTTAATGGTGATCTTAGTATACTTTTAAATTATATAGCCATCTGAACTCTCATCAGAGTTATTTTATCAAATGTGACAATTGTCAGAGGCACCAAATGCAAATAATTATGTTCCCTCTCGCATTCTGCTGTGATCTGGCATTTTTTATTTCAGTAACTATCTGAGTCACAGTTGATGATATGCCTACATGTAGCTCCCAGTAAATTTGGGATCGTAAATTTTTGTAAAGTTTTACAGCCCCTGAATAATAAGAATATGCTTGTTCTGCTGTCATTATTTTAAAAGCAATGCTGTAAAATAACTATTTCTCTTGAGTTTGTATATATTTTTCCCTTAAGTTAATAAATGATCAATGAATCCAATTTATAAATGCCTATGTTTATGTAGTAGTTGAATGTCAGCAATGGCTAAGACTGTATGGCAAATATTGCTGTGCCCTCTTGACTCATTTAAACCTTACAACTTTATAAGGAGAGCCCTGCTGGTTATTAGCCAGTCTGGTACATGAGGCCCAGGCTGTGCCACACAGCAGGTGCTAACACCAGGATCTGAGGCCAGACCTTGTGATTCCAAAGCCTGGGGGTTCTTTAAACTTCCCCTGAGCCTTGGCCTGAATATTTTTCCATCCATTTTAGTGTCAGACATGTTTAAAGGTTATTTTCCAACTGAAATAGTTATGAAATCACATAGGGTTGGGGATTTTTTTTTTAAATATTTAAGTTGGGACCGAGGTGATAATAAGTTATTGTTATTTGGTGCTGTTTTACTTCAGCATAAGCAACCATCATTTTCGTAGCTCTGTGTTTCTGTGTCTTACTTAAATACTGTTTTGTAAGAGGGCTTAACTTTGTCCAGGCTTGTATGAAATCATTACACCTAAACACATATTTAGTGTAATCTGGTTTTGTTTTCCCAGGAGCCAAGCAATAAAAGAGTTCGACCTCTAGCTCGGGTCACATCCTTGGCAAACTTAATCTCGCCTGTAAGAAATGGAGCCGTCAGACGCTTTGGTCAAACAATACAGGTAAAAAGAAGGGGTGGGGGATGCATACTTAAGGAACTTTTTAAAGGCGTCTGGAATTTGTTTTCCTTTGAGCTGTGCAAATGTGTTTGCACTACTCCACTCAAACATGATTTGTTTTGGGATGTGCTTATAAGGAGTATTATTATCAGAGCAATGTTTATATAAGCCTTATAGCCTTATAACTTGTATCCTAATGTCAAAAGATCGCCTAAGGTAGTTTTTGGTCCCCAAAATGAATTTTGATTGGTATTTTCAGTTACTCCATTAAAATTTAAATGATTGCTTTACACTTTGAGAAGTTCTTCAAGTTTTGTTTGGATTTGTTTTGATGCACTTTGAACTGTTAATACAGGATAGTTCTTGTAGTCTCCAAATCTCCTTTTCACTTTGTTTTCCTCTTTAAGTCATTTACCCTCCGTGGTGACCACAGATCCCCAGCCTCTGCCCAGAAGTCATTCAGCAGGTCGACAGTCCCAACACCTACCAAGAGAAGAAGCAGTGTGCTGTGGTCGGAGATGTTAGATATCAATATGAAGGAATCTTTGACCAGTAGGGAGATCAAGCGGCAGGAGGTATGCTGGCACTCAGTGCCAAAACCATATTTACCGAATTATACCGGGAAACAAAAAATCGGGGTGGGGGGATCTTGTTTTGTTTTTTTTGAGATTGAGTCTCACTGTATAGCCTAGGCTAGCCTGGAACTCACTATGTAGAGCAGGCTGACCTTGAACTCACAGAGATCACCTGCCTCTGCCTTCTGAGATGTGGGATTATAGGCAAGCGCCATTACACTGGCAAAAAAATTGGTTTTTCAAAATACACGTTTTGACAAAAGAATGTCAAGTTATGCCAGTGGCAAAATTAACTTGTTTTTATTTGAGCAACAATTCCTAGCTACCTAGTCAGTAACACTTCTGATGACTGGTGGTGGTCATCAATCTAAACACCACCAGGTGAAATTATTAAACCTATGGCAACCTCTTATTAGAGATTCAACCCTGATTATAATTTTCGGATCTTAAAAGGAGCTGTTCAAAACATCAAATAATACAAATATCAGTAATAAAATTCTGATTTCTGACTTCTGGTGTCTGCTGGGTCTTTTCAGGCAATATATGAAATGTCCCGAGGCGAGCAGGATTTAATTGAGGATCTCAAGCTTGCAAGAAAGGTCAGTAAATAACTTTATCACATGCTCTAATTCTTTAAGATTACATGACTTGTAGAGGCTATGTTTCTTAACCTTTAGAAGTAGTTAAGTAAAAAAGGATTATTGATGAATACTTTTTATGACAAGCTTAGAGACACATTTCCTAAATGTGACTGCTAGTAAGGCTTTGGGGGGTGACTGTACACTTGCTTCTCCTATGAAATCCGTGTCCTGTTATGTAGTTACATGTGTGCACTCAGGGACGGATCACTCACATGTTTTCTTTCTCAATCTTTGTGTGATGCATTTCTCCCCCTCTGATAGGCCTACCATGACCCCATGTTAAAGTTGTCTATCATGTCAGAAGAGGAACTCACACAGATATTTGGTGATCTGGATGCTTACATTCCTCTGCATGAAGGTAAGCTTGGCTCGTCTTTTCCTTAGTAGCTGAATAGCACTACCACACAGAATTTTAAATTAAACTGGTAACATTGTGCTCACCAGTTCTTTCTAAATAAACCTATTATTGCTCTTTCTGCTTTTTACACTTCAGATTTGTTGACAAGAATAGGACAGGCAACCAAGCCTGATGGAACCGTGGAGCAGATCGGCCATGTTCTCGTGAACTGGGTATGTAACAAGTCATTATCTGAGTTGGGCCATATTGCAACCTATGACATCGCTCATGTTAGTTTGATCCCACAACTGGATTCTAAAGACAATGAGGCATTAAAGTCAAACAAATTTATAATGATAAGAACTTACAAGCTCTAAAAACCAAGACTTCCCTCAAGGCAATTTCAGTTTTGTCACGAATCCTCGTGGAGATAAATCCATGCTTGAGCGATTCCTGCATGCAGTGCAGCACAGCTGCTCTCTGTGTTCTTTGATATAAACAAGAGTCGGCCAGATGCTAGGCACTGTTCAAGGAGGGGTCACTGGGGATTGGGTGAAATGAAAGACAGTTTCTATATTTATGACCTTGGCGGGGAGACGAGGCCCATACACAGGGTGGTGATGGATGTCATAGAGGATGTTCGGGTATCCTGGGAACACAGACAACTAACATCTTAGTGAGGACGGGGAAGTAGAAGTCATGAGTCTTCAGTTGAAGCTAGCCAAGTTAGGGAACTTAGAAAAAAGCATTCTGATGTTAGTCCTGAATGCCACCCCGTTGCCTGCAGGAAAATGCCCACCGCCCGTGTAAACATGTGTGCAGCTGTACTGTCTTGTGGTCTGTGTAAACATACATGCAGCTATACTGTCTTGTGGTCTGTGCCCACGGGTTATTAATACGCGTAGTCGTGACAGGGGCATCCTACTTTGTCTTTTCTCCTCTTCAGTTACCCGGCCTGAACGCCTACAGAGGCTACTGTAGTAACCAGCTGGCAGCCAAAGCTCTTCTAGACCAGAAGAAGCAAGACCCAAGAGTCCAAGACTTCCTCCAGCGCTGCCTCGAGTCTCCCTTCAGTCGAAAACTAGATCTTTGGAGCTTCCTAGATATCCCTCGAAGTCGCCTGGTCAAATACCCTTTACTGTTGAAAGAAATTCTCAGGCACACTCCCAAAGATCACCCTGATGTTCAGCTTCTGGAGGAAGCAGTAAGTCATCCAGTAGAGGAGTTTTTGTTTTCCAACTTTATACATCACTTACCTTGGAAAAGCACAGAGCGATTCTCTCACGTCTCACGTAGTGAAGAGCCTGCATTTTAGTCTGGTCTCTTCCAGTAACTGGCGGCTGTGACCTAATCCCCCACATGACTGGGGCTAACTGGATTGATTTCTAGAGTACCTGTAAGCTTTCAGCTTTTATGTGGTGTTTTCCCCTGTAGAGAGGCAGGAAGAGTTGGTATACAGAAACTGCTCCATCTGCTTCTTTGATCATTTTTTTAGGTATTGATAATACAAGGAGTTCTGTCCGATATCAACTTGAAGAAAGGCGAATCCGAGTGTCAGTATTACATTGACAAGCTGGAGTACCTGGATGAGAAGCAGAAGGACCCCAGGATCGAAGCCAGCAAAGTGCTGCTGTGCCACGGGGAGCTGAAGAATAAGAGCGGCCATGTGAGTACACATGACACCAGTGGGGAGCAGGCTCACTGCCCTGCACACAGAGTGGGGAGGAGGCTCACTGCCCTGCACAGAGTGAGGAGCAGGCTCACTGCCCTGCACACAGAGTGAGAAGCAGGCTCACTGCCCTGCACAGAGTGGGGAGCAGGCTCACTGCCCTGCACACAGAGTGGGGAACAGGCTCACTGCCCTGCACAGAATGAGAAGCAGGCTCACTGCCCTGCACAGAGTGAGAAGCAGGTT